TAAAGAATGATATAAAATGAAAACAAAGAGTAGTTATGGAGTACAACACAACAATACAATGGGTGGTGTAGATCAAATGGACCAGAACCTAAGTACTTATCCTGTGATAAATGAAAGGGGAAGAAATATTACAAAACATATTTTTCTTCTTCTTGATGTCAGTTTATGGAATGTTTATGTGCTGTACAAAAAACATGGTGGTAAAGATACAAATTTACAGTTTTGATTAGATATTATCGATCGACTAATTGAAAGACATGCAGCAGTAAAAGAAAGAAAAGGTCAACGTGGAAATTCACCAACTCCACTAAGACTGACAGAGAGACACTTTTTAGAGGTGATTCATTCCACTTACAGACAAAAAACAAAGACCCATAAGACAGTGCTTTGGTGTTCACTGAAAAAGAATGACAACGGCAAAAGAATTAGAAAAGATATTATGTATTTTTGTCCTGACTGTAAGGTTGGACTATGCCTCTTGCCCTGTTTCAAGATGTATCACACTAAATCAGATCTCTGAAAAAACAGGGTAAGTAAATGTATTTGCAATATGTGTAATCGAAAATAATTGCATGGTAATTGTACTTTTTTTATATGCACAACTGTAAATGTAACTTCCCTGTCAGGCAAACATAAGAGAGATAAGACAATTTGGGGACTTATCAACAATTTGGGGATTTTAAGATAAATTTTTATAGAAAATTTTTAATTCCGAGATCTGGGAATTTTTCGACAATTTTTTTAAAACATTGTGACATTCATAAATTTCATTAAAATAATGCTAATATACTGAAATTATATTTAAAAAATAACATTGAAATAAAACATTTTTATTTTTCGCTGTCTATTATAAAGTTGTTATATGTCTTTTATAAAGTTGCATTTTAGCAACTTTTTATAGTACAATATTTTCAATATGAAAAATAAACAGGGTATAAAGCTATATAGCACAATTTATAAAATAGTTCTTAGCAAAAGCAAAATTAACTATGTAATTAATTAAAAATGTCTTTAATTTTTTTCTTAGTAAGAGTTTTTCCAATGTAACTGTCACAGAAATCTCTTAATATGCTTAAGTTTTTCTCTGTAAAATTAATTCTACACTTCCCTCCCCTTTTTTTTTTCAAAATACTTCTGGCCTTTTTGCTGTTACAGAATTGATAGGGATAGCTTTTCTTTAGGATTTTAGGCACTGCAGCTTGGAAAGTTTAGAAGGATTTGAAGGCAAGATTTATAGAGCCATGATTCTAGAAGATTCCAGAAATATGTGACAAAAAGTGTCTCCATGGTATTAACACATAATGGATGTATTTTACAGAAAGTTTGCAATGAATTTCTTACTTTGTGGAGAACGTCTAGAAGAACAATGAAAACATAATATTTGAATGTTTTACTTCTGATACTAGAATCTTTTTCTTAACATAATAATCTTCCCTTTATTTTCTCTACTTTTCACTAGACACAGGCATGGAAAATATCAAAAATGCTCCTAATCTTATGATATGGACAGGTGTTATAGAAAGGAATTTTTTTATTAATAAAGAAATTAAAAATTGACAATTTAAAAGATTTATCTAATATGCCTTAACCCTCTGGCTGATCATCCCGCGATTTCCACGGGCAACTCAAATGTAGCAAAATTTGCTTATCCCGCGATTTCCACGGGCATATGTTTTCTTCCTTTATTGAGAAGCGGATCCCGTTTTTTCCCCGTTTAACCATTGAAATATATTATGTACAGTATTAGGTGTTTAGTTTACGTTTTGGCCAAAAGATATCGTTAGTTATCCACTAAATTGCGACATTTGAAGGCACATGGTATTAGCGCTCAAACTTCACATTTTGCTGCTTTTTTCTTACATGGCTGCTAGAAAACGTTCAGCGATGATCTTGATTATTTAGTTAAATTATTGAATTATTAATTAGATTTATTGATTAGATTAATAATTAGATTTATTGATTAGATTAATAATTAGATTTATTGAATCTGGTGCAAAGACTCTGAAGTTGGACTTTGCCATGAACCCTGTTTTGAACTCTATCATGCTAAACTGCGTAAAGGGGAGGGATGTCTTTGTGGAGAACTTTCTAAGGAAAACTGGCTTGTATACATGTTACACATGGAGAAACCATAAAAGTGCCTGTTGCCTCTCCAGTTAAGTTTAGCATTTTCTGTTTGGCATTATTTAATCATTTTTTTTTTTTTTTTTTTTTTTTTTTTTTGCAATTTGTTGGTATACGAGTCTGGCAACCCAGTTTTTGTGTGGAATGTTGTGATCGCAAAATCACCATTCTAAGCTACGCAGTATTTAATTTATGCTACAGCAATATTATATGTTATTCATCATTAGACTGTACAGATAATTTGATCATTGTATTAAACCATACATGTAAATAGCCTCATTAATCTCTGCTTATTTGTGAAGTGAAAGTAAATTGGGTATTAAGCAAAGCTGGAATTTTTCATGAAAACAACGCCTAGGCAGCCAGCCTGTTTATTAGGATTTGAACTGCAGACTATACTGCTAGTGTCCAGCAACTTTACCGCTCAGCTTCTGGTGGGTCCTGTTTAATAATGTAATATAATCTTTATGTATGGACATTTATGATAACAGAGACTAGAATAAGTAATTATAGAAATTTTGCTAATAGAAACTTTTTAAATACAGTTCTCTATGAGTAGATCCAAAAAGCTGTGCCACTCAAGAAAGGGTTAAGTCTTTCTTTGCTTGCATTAAATGTTGAAATTGCTTAACTCTTGCATGCAAACATAATCCAATCATTTTTCAGTATTTTATGACTCTTTGCAGAGCATATCTTTGTTAATGTAGTTGATTTCAGATCTGTTATTTTTGTTTAGTGGTTCTGGGATACAAGTATTATTTTTCATAGATGATTTCCTTATACTTTAAAGGAAAAACTTAGATAGGCTCCAGTGGCACTCCTTTCCTGTTTCGTTGAAAACCTTATACTTTAAGGGTCTGTAAGCTTCTTAAACGTTAGACTTGCTTTTTTTGGGGGAAGGGGGAAGTAACCTAATTCTCCAACTTAGCAACCAAGGGCTTGGGCTCAAATTTCCTAAAAAGTCAGTGAGAAGGCATATTTTCAAAATTAAAATGCTAAAATGATCTTATTACTTCATAATTTGGTTCTTCCATTTCAACATACAGTGGATGGACAAAAATATGGAAACACCTTGTGAAATGCATGTTTGAAAAGAAAGATTGATTTTAATGAAATATGTAGGTGGCGCTGGCGTTTTTGACTACTGATGCCACCTACACAACTTCGTAAATGTGCTAAACAGTTCAGTTGTTGTCGGAGTACTGTTATGTGAGGTTGTCATTGCATTATGTCAGAGTTAACAGACTTCGAACGGGGCAAATTGTTGGAGAACGTATGGTAGGTGCTTCCGTAAGCAAGGTAGCCGAGGTGTTTAGTGTTTCAAGAGGTACTGTATCGAAGATTTATTCCGCATATTTGAAAAGCGGAAAAACATCATCTGCTAAATCACAGCGCGGACGAAAGTGTGTCCTGAGTGATCGTGACAGACTATCATTAAGGGCAATTGTGACGAAAAATAAGAAGACCACAGCTGCAAAAGTTACTGCTGAAATGAATGTTGTGTTACCGAACCCTGTGAGTACCAAAACAATTAGAAGGGAGTTTCATAAACAGGGAATTGCTGGCCGTGCTGCAATTGAGAAGCCACTCATCAGTGATGCTAATGCCCGTAACAGGAAAAGGTGGTGTTTAAGTCATAAAGCCTGGACTATAGAGCAGTGGAGGCGAGTAATATGGTCTGACGAGTCTTCTTTCACATTGTTTCCCACTTCTGGCCGAGTTTACGTCTGGAGAACGCCATCTCAAGCCTATAATACAGACCGCTTGTTGCCAAGAGTGAAACATGGCGGGGGTTCTGTTATGGTTTGGGCAGCCATATCGTGGTTCTCTGCTAGCCCCATGATAACTGTGTCAGGGCACATGACTGCCAAGACTTATGTGAACAGTTTGGCCGATCAAGTTCATCCCATGGTACAAACTTTGTTCCCCGATGGTGATTGTGTCTTCCAAGACGACAAAGCCCTGTTCACACAGCTCACATTGTCCAGGACTGGTTTTCTGAGCATGAGGATGAGTTGTCCCATCTCCCCTGGCCACCACAGTCACCAGACACCAGACCTGAATATTATCGAACCTTTGTGGTCTACATTGGAACGGAAAGTGTGTTCTCCTTATCCACCGCCAACATCGTTATCTGAACTTGCCACCGTTTTGCAGGAAGAATGGTATAATATTCCCATGGCAAACATACAGGAACTGTATTTATCCATTCCGAGAAGACTGCAAGCTGTTTTGGATGCCAACGGGTTTCCTACACCATATTAAGCAAAGAAACATGTTTTTTAAAGGTGTTTCCATATTTTTGTCCAACCCCTGTATTATGTTCATGTTTTTTTGACACATTTCAGGATGTTTGTGTTACTTAAAAGTATCTGAAGAAAAATTATTTAATGAATAGATACAGCTTTACCAGTCTTAGAATCAAGGAAAACATCTATGTTAATAACTCATAGATCTTAGAACAACTAAATTATCATAACTGAAATCAGCCACATTTATTTTGCAAAGGATGGAAAGGCAGGCTGAATAATTTTTGGATGTATTTGGAGAATGTTTCCAAAATTTATTGTAAACAAAGATCTAAATCTCTCAAAAATTATACAGGTTTCATCAGTTAGCTAACATTTTTTTGAAATAAAGGTTGTGTACATTTGGAATAGTCTAATCTTATTTGGAGTATATTTTATTTCCGAGTTTTAGCTGACTTATCTTTCATGCAGAATTGATGGGCATGTTAAAAGAGCTTCTTTTAGAATTTTTTTTTTTTTTTTGTATTTCAGTGAGTTTTAATTAATTATTTTTATTTCATATCTGTTATTTCACCACTTCATTTAGTAGTTTTAAGAGTATTTATGGTGCAATTTCGTTTATTTTAGGGTCTGAGAATGATAAGCTTAGCCTTCCAAGTCCTCCAGCACCCGTTTTGGGATTTTCATTTTCTAGAACATCATCTACAGGATCTATAGATCTTTTGACTTCATCTTCGGCACATAATACTGGTATTTAATAATTTATAATCTATTTTTATTGAAAAGAAATCTAGATTTTTTTATTTTGGTACTTGTCCTTGGCATGCATTCCCTGGAGGGATTACATGAATAATCATGGAAGGGGTTAAAGGTATGTATCATTTGCCTGAAGCCTTGAGTACCTGTGATGATGAAATGACTTGCATCTCTGTTTTATCTGAAAATACTATGGCGTAGAGTCTCATTCCCTGTTTTCTCCTTCCACTAGCCTCTCAAAGAACCTTAAAATCCAGCGGATTTAAAATGCTCCCATGTCATAAAGAGGCAGACATTATGAGCATTTTCAGATATTTACAAACATCCATGCGTTCTCCTTAATCTGAATCTGAGTGTAAAGATATGATAGTTGGTATGACCACTGTTCTGCAAGAAATCTTTATTTAAATGATTTATGATTTAAATGCAACTAAATAAGTAATTAAAGTTATTTGTATAGTTAAAATTATTTAAAGGCAGACTAATCAGAATATTTTAGTATTTATTTTACTAATTATCAGAATATTTTAGTATTATTTTATTAATATAATATAATAAAGTCAGAATATTTTAAAAAGTAATATTATTTTGTATCATTTTAATCTATTTTCTGGAATTTGAGTTAAAGGCTTTAAATTAAACATCATTCATATTATTGTTAAAAACAACACATATATATAACTCAGCTTTGTTGTCCTGGACATTATGGGTGAAAGTTAATTCTAAGAATTAGTTCAGAGATTATAATTATTATTGTTAACATTTATCTTATATCTTTTGATTTATTCCAAAATTAATTGTTCTTTTAACGTATTTTAAGACTTTCTTAATCATTGACCAGTGTCTCTTATCAGCCTTCTCCAGAAATTGTGAACAAAATGATACTACAAAGAAATGTCTCGTTGAGTAGCCACAGCCAAGTACATCAACCTACCAACAACTTGTCTGTAAGGAATTTTCTCGCAGTTTATCCAATCATTATCATCTTCCCCTGCAAGCTGACACTTCCCAACAGTTTTAGAGACAGGATTTGCATTCCACATATTAAATTTCCTTAAAACTTTGGTGGCATAATTCGGTTGGCCAATAAATATATCACCATTACCTAATCTTTTTATCTCAAGGCTCAGGAAAAGTTCAGCATCTTTATAAGTTACTTTAAATTCTCTTTCAAAGAAATTGACTTTAAACTTGCATGTAGTGGCAGCAAACACACCATCAGGAAATAATGCTTGTAGTAACTTTTGTTGTTGGACTAAACTGCAAAACAAACATGGATCAGCATTGCTCTCCTTCAGACCATAACATTACAAGAAATCTTTGAATCTTTTATTCCAACAGCAGCGAGACTGCTTAAATACATAGACTTTTTATCAGTCTGCACACTGTGCCCGACTTGTCATCACAAACTCAGGTTGAAGCATATATAAATCTCTCCAATTCATGCCAAGTCCTGTGCAGAAATGCAATTCTGACATCAAATTGTATCAAATCCAGACCTTCATTAGCAGCAACACTAATCACAGGACAAATGGTTTCAAAACATACCACAGGACTAAACATTTTGTAATAATCAATACCTGCCTTTTGGGAAAAACCTTTAACCACCAACCAAGCTTTAAATCTATCGATATCTGCATTTGCATGACATTCCACTTTGTAAACCCATTTATTTGAAATAGCATGTCTACCCTCTGGGAGATCAGTTAGGTATCATTTTTTATTTTTGGATAAAGATTTCAGCTCTTCAGCTATTGCAGTTTGCCATTCCAAGGCATTATCCAAATTTACTGTTTGGCAATAATTCTCTGGTTCCTCATAGTCCACAAAACAATGCTTTATCAATCTTTCAGGTGGTGTCTGATAAGTAAAGCTGTTCATTAATGGGCTGTTCAGGAACTGATATAGAGTAGTGAATGATGAAATTACTTCTGAGGTAAAGACTATTTCTCTAGTTCTTTTTACTTCTATTGTACATCTTAACCATACCCAATAACCATCAACATCATCTAAATAACCAACCAATATTACCAATATTCCTTTCTCACTTCTTGGACTCCACTTTATTTGCTTCTGTTTAGGTACATGAATAAAACACTCTCTCTATATAACTCTAAGATGATTAAGTCTTGGAGTTCTGCCGCAAAACAGTTTGAATGGAGACTTGCCATCTACTGATGAGGTTCTAGCATGATTAAATATATACACTGCAGTATTAACCAACTCAGCCCACAGTGATTTTCACAAAGCTTCAGCAATCATGATTGTGCAAGCTAAATCAACAAGTGTTCTATTTGTCCTTTCAGCTGTCCCATTTTGCTGGGGGTACAGGGGTGCTACTGTGAAGCTCTGCTCCCATTCTTCACAAAATATTCTTAAAGTCCTTTTTTATATACTCTAGTCCACCATCACTTAAAACTGCCTTGATTGGCTTCTCTGCTTGAAGTTGGAAAAATGTACAAAATTCTTTAAACTTAGCAGTGGTTTCTGACTTATCTTTAAGAAAAAAAAAAAACAAACTTTTCTGTACTTGGAGAAATAATCTGTAAAGCATATATAATAGTGAGAAACACCTATGGATTCTTGTTCCATAGGCCCACAAAAGATCAGTATGAATAAGTTCACCAACCTCATTAGCATGTTGTTGACAACTCTGGCCTGTTAACCTATGCTGTATTTGTAATATCAGTTGCCTCACAAAAAGTACCATCCAATTTTAGTTTATTACCATGGGATGTTATACCTTTTTAACATGTTTATTTAAATATCCCAGCCTTTCATTCCAGAGTTGATGAGGATTAGTTTCACTTACATGCACTTCAGAAGGACACTCAACTTCAGGAGACACAGTTTTATAGAATAATTTGAATATGTTAGTACAGCGAATTCCAACAGCAACAACATTTTTGGATTTCAAAAATTCACATTTATCATTTGACATAAACTCACGTCTATGATCTAGCACCTGGCTTACAGAAAATAAATTTCTTGCAGCATCAGGGGCAAACAGTACATTTTCCATGAAGCTGTCTCTCCATGAACCCTGTACTAACATTTCAAGTGATATGACACCATGTGCATAAGCTTTCATTGTTGCATTTTTACTAATTCTTGCTTCAATGGAAACTCAAATGTTGTATATGATTTAAACCAGTCAATTATATTAGTAATATACTAGTAGCTCTAGTAACGATTACCCATGCATTATTATTAGTCACACGGAGATACATACCAATAAAGGCTTCTCCATAGTTGAACTTTGCATCATGATTGACTTGTCATGTAATTAGTTTTCTGGGATATAAAGTTCTTTTTAGAGTGACTTCTTTTTACCACATTTAAAACGTTTATACTGTTTTCTGTGTTTGTTAACAGACTCATTTCTTGAAAATGTTTGCTTCCTTGGAGTTTTTCCAACAGTATCTTTAGCAATTAAAGGAAGTTTACTGTCCCTAGATGGCTCTGACATTTTTTTTCTGCTCTTCTGAAATTAGCAGTCCCTTCAATTCCAGCAGTGTTTGCTGTTCTTCTGGCCTTGCATACCAAGGCAAGTTTAGTGGCTCAAATTCATTAGAGAAAGTTTCTAATAGTTTATTCATAATAACAAAGTCCTTTGGCTCAATTTCTAAACCATGCATTCATGACACCAAATGTTGTAGTTTTGCTATATGCATGGCCATTGTATCTGTAGGATCACGCACAAATGATAAAAACTGCAACTGGCATGCATAATTTGCTTATTTATTTTTCTGTTCAAACAATTCATGCAGCTTCATCCATATTTCTCTTGCTGTTTTGCACATGGAAAGTAAATCACAAATTGGGGAGTCTAATGTCTGTGAAAAAATTCCATGAGCAGCTCTATTAACCTTGTCAAACTTGGTTAACTCTCAGTTGTATTCTGGACTTCAAGGGGAGCAACTTCAGCAACAGGCTCTGGTTCTACTATTTCCCCAGAACACACTTCAAAATCTCCTTTTTCCATAAGTAAACCTTCAACCATCCACTTCCATCACACCCAATTCTTTGATCCCAAAAGTTTGTAGTAAATAATTCCACGATTGCAATGAAGCTCATTTTCACTTCTGAGGAACTATTTAGGGTTAGCAATAAAATTTCTTAGAATGCAGGTAAAGTCATACTGGACCCATAACGTAAAGTATTATTAAGTCAATGATGGAGAGCTACATTAAGTTTTATTTATTTAACATTAAGCAACTAGGAAAGTATTATTACCTTCTACAATGTGCGAAATACTGAGAAGAGGTAACATTAAATTTTATTTTTTAGAAGTGTTTTTACTACTATACGAAGCTGCCAAATCACTGATACAAAATTCGATATTGCACATGCAAATAAATATTAATATAAAAAAAAGGTAAAATGTATTTTAGGGAAACAATATAAAACAAAAGCATTAATTAAATTCAAGTTTACAATACTAAAAGTAGGCTACTATCAAAGGAAGTCAAAAGGAACTTAACTATGAAGTCTAGCCTGAAATTTAGGAGCATGAAAATTGAACTTCTTAAATTGGAAAAAAGTGAAGGGAAGCTATGATATCAATTTAGAACCCATTCACTTACTGAATAATTCAAAATTTTGTCCAAGAGAAATGGGGCCCACCAGCGGCCGAGCAGTAAAGTCGCTGAACACTGGTAGTTCGGTCCGAGGTTCGAATCCCGCGAACGGGCTGGCTGCATGGGCGTTTCCGTGGCTTCTCCATGTGTAACCTGTATATGAGTCATTTCCCTTAGAAAGTTCTCCACAAAGGCATCCCTCCCTTTAGGCAGATAGCCCTAGTGTGCTTTGCCATACTTAAATAAACCAAACAAACCAAACCAAGAGAAATGTATTATGTGAATAATTTCCCCCTATATAGTAAATTTTATAGTCGTAAAGAATTTAATATGGCTGTGAGTACTTTTGAAGCTTATCACATGGCTTCTAGAGAACAAGGAATGATGCACTAAATAAAGGTGGCAATTTAATAC